CCGGTGAGATTTGAACCGCTGAACTGCTGATCTAGCAGTAGCCTGCAGTGCTGCATTTAACCACTGCGCCACCTTCTTTGTTAACGACTGGATTTCGAGTTCTGATTTTCCATAAAGCTACATCCAAATGTGAGATTTCATCAGTATTTTCTGTTGTTTGGTAGCCAAGATTTGTTTTCTTTAAAATTATTAAAAGTGGGATAATAGCAATGCCAAATAATAAGGGTAAGATGGAAGATGCCTCTCCTAATGTTGACAAGCTCATATTTTCCATTTACAACCACCAATTCTCTCTTCTGCTGCTTTATTATTTCTTATTACCATAGTATTTGTCCCCAACATGGTATTTCAGGTGTTCTGGAAGTACATCCCTCACTCCTGTGATTCCACCCATCTTGCTGCTGGCCTCCATCCTCTTCTTTTCCCGGCATTATAGAGTTCTCCAGAGAAATAGTTTTTTCTCACATTCATTCATTTCCAAATGAATGTCTCCAAAACATTCATTTCAGCCTCGTCATTTGTACCTCAATAAGAACTCTGAATTGATTTGTTCTATGATATATTTCTTAACGATGCATGGTATTCTCAACAGTTTCTCCAACTTCAACATTGAAAAGGTTTTATCCTGCTTCTTCCAAGGCCAATCTTTCACAGAACGTTATAGGGAAAACTATTGCCGGCACAGTTCTCATTCTTGTCAGTTCTATGATTAGGTTTTTTTTTTACCTGTTGTCATTAGTTTGGAATTCTTTCTATAGTACTTGATATTAGTCCAGATTTTTCACTGTACTCCTTGACTTTTATTACCAGACTATAGAAATCCTTTGCAGTTTTGACAATCACGGTAGTGTCATCAGCATAGCACAGATTATTGATGCTTCTTGCAATTATTAAACCACACTTACCTTCTTCCAATTCAGATTCCCTTACTTACTTGCCTACTTACTTATTTACTAACTTTACTTTATTGTCATTGCACCTCGTACAACAAAATTATATTCTATTTTCAGTGTACAATGCACATAAGAAAACTATAAAAATAAAACAAAAACACACATCCTTCACATTCTATACAATTGAATTAAAACCCTGATATTGCATTAATATTGTACTATACAGTAGAATTCAATATAATTACTGTTCTGGGATAGAAGCTGTTTTTCAGCCTATTTGTCCTTGTTTTAATTGTCCTGTAGCATCTTTCAGATAGTAATAGTTCAAAAAAAGGGGTGATTCCCTTGGGACCAGGTTTGTGTTCTGGAAACTTTATATCTAGGTAGCCCTCAACTTATGACTATTTAAACTTATGACTGACTCCCAAAAGCCTACTTATGACGAGGATTCAATGTTTTGATTGTCAGGTTCATTCGACTGTAACATGATCCAACTTTAGGCACTCAGCAACATGGCTGCATTTACAGCCATTCAGTGTTTAATTATGGTTCTGCTAAAATCTGGCGCTTCCAGTTTTTGACAAAACCGTGCCCATAGCAAATCATTGGTCTGCTTAACAACTACGATTTGATTAATGACTGCAGTTATCCACTTACCAACTGCTGCAAAAAATTGTAAAATTGGTTAAGGCATCTAACTAATCTATTTTACACATTTTAAGACATACATCCATTATGGGAGATTTACATTATGATTGCACGTCGAGGACTATCTTAAAAGACTCTCCTCTTAAGTCTATAACCCTGGAAAAGGTCAAAGGGAAGAGAAAGAAAGGATGACCAGCAGTAAAACATATGATCAATTATAACAGCAATTGGTTCACCATTGGAAGACCTGAAAAATCAGGCTGGAAACAGATCCACTGAGAGAAGGTGAAATCTACGTGAACAGTAAGAGTCAACATCAGGCTTAATGCAGATAATCAAATAAAGACTTTATCTGCATAAAGCTTTTTGTTATCTTGATGAGATATTAATGTTAAGAAATATTTAAGCGTAGTATCATTATGAGTAAGAGAAACTAATATATTCCTAATATATTCCTTCTTCATTGCATTCCTGTGCAATGCACCTTAGATTTAAATAGAGATAAGTATATATCATTGCAGATCTCCTTTTAGTGGATTTTGGATGCAAACCAGGGGTGGGTTCCTGTACTGGTTGGTATCGGTTCGCTTCGTTTTGCGCCCGCCGTGCATTGCTCGCGCAGGTGCAGTTGACTGAAAATTGTTCTGCGCATGCGCGGAAACATGCCAACAACAGCAGAAGATACCAGGGAACCAGTTTGGGGGTGTGATCAGCCTGGGTCACTGCCAGTTGTGCGACCCAGGCCAGATCACCACTACCAGTTCAGCTGAACCGGACCGAACCAGAAGCAACCCACCTCTGATGCAAAAGATCCAATTTCTCTGTCTATATCTCCCCAAAAGAAAGGACAAGCCCACTGTCTCTGAAATAGTTCTTTCAAGACTGTTACACAGACATTGCTTTAATTAATTCATTAATGTTAATTTAACTTTAGAATCTTCTACAAATGAAACAATTTGACACAAATGATATATATTAGCATTCAATGTTCAAAAATAATAAACCCTTTCTATCTCCAATTAGCCTGCTAAATGGGGGATTTCATTATACATTATTTTCCTTCTAGGACTTTTGGGTACATTTTTTAGGTCCCTTTGATTACTGGTTTGGCCTTTCAAGAGAAATTAACAAGGTCTGGAAATGGGCCAATGGCACAGAGTTTAGAAATCAGTAAGTACATTTTTATAAATTTTGTTTATAGACCTCCAGAGCTATTTTTCTATTTGAAGCACTTATATACATAACACTTCAGCTTGAATGGATGAAAGGATAATAAGAATCAAGATAATTTTTAGCAAAGCTTTTATCCTCAAAATATAAGAAACAGAAAACTGGGGGGGGGGGGAGGAATTGCTCAGGCAACAGCATGAAATATCTGGTGGTCCAATCATTGCTGACCAACTATCCTGACTGAGATATTTGGGATAGCTGAGATGACATAAAAATTCAAGAGCAGATGGGTCTGGTGCCAGTTTTGATACTTTTATAAACGGGGGGGGGGGAGCAGCCCAGTTTATCATAATGTAAGGTTCCAGCAGTTTTCCCCGAGCCACTGAGATGCCAACGAGAGAGGGAGACTTCAGACGAGGCTTGCAAAAAATATCAGCTTTTATTCATGGCCATAGCAAAAGCTGGGTGACAAAACTATATCCAAAACATACAAATAAATGCATGTAAGGAATAGCCACACCATGCAAGAGTGGCTCAGAGTGTTATATACATTTTAGGCAGATAGAAACAAAGTTTATCCAATCAGAGATAAAGGTTCATTACCAATGTGATCTTTAAAGCATTCGTTTGTTCAAGCTCCTGTCTCTATCTACCTTATCTATGGAGAAATCCTATAGCCTTGTGTAGGGGGTGGCAGCCCCACTTTGCCAAGTTGTTTTTTCAGCAGAATGTTTTAAGGATTTATGAGCCAGGAAAACTCCCTAGTTTGGTTCCTTTATCTATACAGTTTGATATTCCTGTGTAACAATCTCTTCTACTAGCTTTCAAAAATGTGCCAAGCTTTGAAGCAAAGAATAGAAGCTAGACGCAGCAGTGAGATAACATTTGCATTAAGGTTACAATTTGCTAGGCTAGAAAACAACTAATTTCTGACAGTATACAATAATATAAGCAGAAGCAAATATTGATTGATTCATACTGATGCATATACTCCTTCAATAACATAGCAATTTGCTTTCCCCCCACCCAAAGGGCTACATCCATAAGACAGGGTTTCTCAACGTGACAACTTTAAGATACAAGGCCTTCAACTCCCAGAATTCTCAGCTAGCATGACTGCCTGGTGCATTCTGGAAGCTGAAGTCCACACTTCTTAAATTTGCCAAGGTTGAGAAATTGTGAATAGCCTCAAGCTGAACTTTATTTGTTTATCATCTAGGTTAAAAGAATCTCCCAGAGTGTTTGCCTTCCCCTGAGAATGACTAGTTAAGATTTCATCAATTCTGGGTGATGCTTATGCTGTTTATGGCAGCATAACGACTCCAAGCTTGACCCCTGCTTTACCCCTCCTTCAAGCTTAGCTATTTCCCAACATCGATCCAGTGCATACTGGAGGCACAGTATTGGCTGAAATTCGCTATGCTCTAAAACGAGGAATCTTCTTGGAAGGGTTCTTCCTGTAATGCTAATTTCTGTCCTTAGTTATCTCTGTCATGTTGATAGTAACTCCTTGTCCTTTTTGCAGGTTTCCAATTCATGGAGAAGGCTTATGTGCATATATAAATGCAGAAGGGGCCAGTAGTACAAAGTGCACAGTGGAGAAAGGTTTTTTATGCAGTTGTAACAAAGTTGCAGCAATACTGGCTAAGACAACCTCATCAAAAGTGGGAAGCTCCTAAATATGAACTGAATATATCCCTTTTTTTTACTTTTTCATTTTGGAAGTCTTGACTAGAGATATTAGACAGAGTGGGAAAATATTGCGTTTGAAGATTAAAAAAGGAATGTACACATTGGGAACTTGTTGTTTTGATTCAACAAGATCTAAAAAGTGAAATGCAATATTTAATGAAGAAGCTGAATGACTTTGGTGCTTTAGCCAAAGTGTTTAAAAAACAAAAATGTTGGCTAAATAAAATGTTGGCTAAAAATAAATTATTAAACGGGAATAACTGTTTTAAATTATGTGACTGTTTGAAATGACATTAAAAAAGCCTTACTGAGGAGGCAAAAATTACAATTACTTTGGTGGGCATAATTTTTGTAATGAAGATGAATGTTTTACCCGGTATTGTTTTTATTTCAGAATAACAGAATATCAGAGTTGGAAGGCAACCTTTGAGGTCTTCCAGTCCAATCCCCTACTCAAGCAGGAAACCTCTACTTGTGATGGTGAACCTATGGCACACGTGCCCAAAGTGGCATGCGAAGCCATGTCATTTGGCACACGCAGCCTTGTATGTTTGTCTTCTGGGTTTGTGGCGCGTATGCATGTGTGATTATCAGCTGTCCTTCGCACATGCAGCAGTGCTGAAAACCAGGGTGCGCATGTTTGCCAACCAGCTGATTGTCAGGTGTGCATGTGGACCAAAACCCGAAAGTTTGGCTTTTCCGGAGTGTGGCCGCAATGAGCGCATGTGACATGCAATGTTTCCACACAATCTTTTCGGTACTCGGTGTCAAGAAGCTTCGCCATCACTGCCCTGTACCACTTCTGACAAATTTCAGAAATTACCAGTATTTATGGCCCATATTCCATTCAAACAATGGCAAAAATGTATATCTAAATTCACATGACAAATGGACAAAAACAAAAGTTAAATGTAAATTCTTGCAGAATACGAAAGAGGATTGGAACCTACCAGGCTTAAATCTATAGTTTGACACTTACTGTTTGGTTTGGATGAGCGACTGAGCGACCTTAAAGAATAAGATGTTGTTAGATTTGGATGGTCATGAATTAAAACACATATGTAGACAGCAGGGAGAATCTTACCTGCACAGTTCAATGCAGCTTCCCCCAAAATGGCTGCCAGTTCCAGTTTCAGGCCAGGTGGCTCAGGAACAGAACTGCTTCCTCTGCTTTCCTAACATGGAGAGCTCTGCAGTGCTCTGGAGATTGCATTGGAGAAGAAGTGTGAACTGAACTTTAAGTTATCCCGAGCCTTTGACTGAGATGGCCAGCCATTAAAATGGAATGGCTGGATGCACTTGCTCCCTAATTACAGAATACAGATTAACAGAGTTGGAAGGGACCTTGTAGGCCATCTAGTCCAACCCCCACCCCCTCAGCAGACCCTTTGACATATGGCAGTCTAGTCTCTTCTTGAAAGCCTCCAGTGGTGAAGCAGCCACAACTAAGCCACATGGTCTGCTTCTGGAAGTGAGGGCCCTTTTGAACAGTTCACAGTTCATTGCGGCCGACTTGAAAATGGTGCTCACTTCCATAGCCTAGGGAAGGAGCGGCTTGTTCTGCTCCAATGAATCTCTGAGGCGATGCAGATAACTGTGGAGATCTCCCCAATGAGATCTCCAGAGCTTTAAGAAGAAGATTTACAAAGATAAGTGCCCAAATCAGTGATCAGGGGGACCCAGTGGGGTGGGAAGCAGGCCCAAGGCCTGTGGGGACCCCGAGTCATGGGAAGCAGAGCATGGAGGGCCTCAGGAGTTGAGGAGGCCCAGGGCGGGGCCTGTGCTAGGCCTTCCAGAGCCGCCTTTGGGCCTTCAAGCCCCCTGTGCCAGACAGTCATTTAATGGGTGAATTGGAGAGTGGTGGCTTGTGCCACTTTTTCTAAAGTGGCTGCCTCATAGCAACCTCCTGCTATTCTGCAAGCAGTTACTTCTCTCCTGAGCCTATCAGGGACTCCCTTTTTAAGGAGGCTCCACAAAACCACAAACAAACATTGAGGAGGATTCTAGGTATCACCTCTGTTGTAATGTGTAAAGGGAGATAAACTGAAAAGATGGGTTATATTCAGTGGTGGTGTTCAAATAATTTAACAACTCGTTCTCTGTCCTAATGATTTCTTCCAACAACCAGTTCACCAAAGTGCTCAAAAAGTTAACAACTGGTTCTCTGTCCTAATGATTTCTTCCAA